CAGAACACGTTCTGGAACACCTGTGTTTCTCTCCTTCGTGAAGGGACATCTTGATTCATTGTTCCTACACTCACTGTGGGCCTTGGCCGGAACACTTTCTGGAACACCTGTGTTTCTCTCCTTCGTGAAGGGACATCTTGATTCTTTGTTCCTACACTCACTGTGGGCCTTGGCTGGAACATGTTCTGGAACACCTGTGTTTCTCTCCTTCGTGAAGGGACATCTTGATTCAGTGTTCCTACACTCACTGTGGGCCTTGGCCGGAACACGTTCTGGAACACCTGTGCTTCCCTCCTTCGTGAAGGGACATCTTGATTCAGTGTTTCTACACTCACTGTGGGCCTTGGCCGGAACACGTTCTGGAACACCTGTGCTAACCTTGCCAAATATGGTCATAAAATACACCACAGAAAGGTTACATATATGACACACATATGAGTCTTAGTAAATTCCAAACTGTGAGTGATTACAGAATCCAACAATAGCAGTTTCCATGGCAACCAGAAATTGTGCCTGGTACATCCTGAACTTCACGTTGTCAACGACACCAGTAATCCACTCTCCTCCCGTCTGACGGCTAACTCATATATTTCACAAAATAGATTAACCAAAATGTTTATCACCAAAATGTCATCATCCTAGCCAAAATCCATTTTGTGCAACTAGCTTTAGTCAGTTAGCGCAGCAGACAAATTTCATCATGGTGATCTTTCTCTGTATCTTCAGGCAGCGAAGCTGAAGTCGCACCGTTTCCATGACGCAGAAGATCCCACAGTTCCAGGACTAGTTTGAAATATTAAGATTTGCAGTTTTCCATATTTGTATCTGGCTTTGAAGTCTGGGGACGGGACTCTGTTTGGGTAATATTGTTGACATTAACGTCCCCCGCCAGACATTGGGATGGAGACTCAGTCAGAAATATGCTACTTTTATTCTTGAGACATACTTCATCATTTATAACTTCCTAATTTTCTATTTGAAGACTGAACTAATGCAGAATAAACGCACTGCACAAATTGATGATGGAATGGGGAAATGCCATGTGATATTGGAGGCAAATATATGTTTCATCACGTTAGAAGGTCGACCTGTGGCAAATTAAGAGAACTGTATTTCTATGGTGTGCTTGTGAGCTGGCCAAATTCAAAGGAAGGCTGTCAGAGCAATACATGTCAGAGGCCAATAATTCTAAATCAATTTATAAATAATTATGACTTAAACATTCCTTTATGAAAAACACATAATCGTGAGGATGAAAGAAGCGTCGAGATGAAGATGGTATTTTTGTAGTTATATCAAAGAATCAATTGCAGCTGAACTAATCCGACATGTACACTTGAGAAAAAAGACCAAGGTTATTTGATAAAAACATCTCACCGGGTACCATAGACCACATTTGAGGATTGAACACATCTAGGAGAAGGTTTTTTGTGCTCAATCTAATTTTATTTTTTTATCTTCTAAACGAAACTACATGTGGATGGCTTGACTTGAAGCTTGACGGAGCAGGATCAAGTAATGACTTTGGACCTACAAACAATTTTAAAGGGTGTACTTGAAAGTGAATTTGAAATCCGAAGTGCCCCATTCAGACAAATTCCAATTGATTTCTGCGTAATTTCCGGTAGAATCAATCAGCCCACTTTGTACACTTGTTTCACGTTGAACAGTCTATCCCACAATTCTCCGTTATCAAGGAAGTAAAATTTTCGAAGTAAAGTGACAGTTGCACGAATGAAATAAGTTTGTGGAAGATAATCCTTGTCTTTATGTGCCTAGCTTCCTTCCTCTCTGACCGAACCTTCTTCCACAGAATACATCCAGACTCAAGTCATGAACACAATCATCAAATGTCTATTTGCAGACAAAACTCTATACAGTATCATTCTAAACAGGCAGTGAAACAACTTAATACTTCAATCCAGTATCTCTTTACCCTGTTGGATGAGATTGAATGTGAATTCAGAACCATTTAGAGACTAACAGACTTACGTTGTTAACTCCCCTGGGAGCGGAGAATGTCATTTGAGTGCCTAATGTCTGTTGACAGGGTAACGATTGTCAGTACTATAAGCATGCTTCAGGGGATGGATACGGCACAATATATATGCACTTACGATTATTATAATAAATACATATAATTCTTTTAATGGACGTCTGCGACTTTTCCCACTTGTCCAGACATTCAGTACTGTCCTCTCAGCTCAGCTTTACAAGACCATAAGGCAACACTAACCTCTCCTAGAAATGTAGACTAGTGTAAATATTTAATTTTGATAGAAACAAGTGTAGCAGCCACAGAATTTCCGAGTCCCTTGATGGGATGCGAACCACGGACCTTCTGATCAGAGGTCGGACGCCTTGTCCACATGACCAAAGAGGTTAACCCGGTCAGCAAGCTGACAAGGTAAGGATGTCATCTGTGGGATGACTCCACGCCCTGCTACACAAGCAACTACATTTAACTTGAAAAGGAGAGATGAGAATTTGTGGCAAGTCTAGACTTGCTTCACTTGGAGCTAGGGTATTACAGTAAGTGCTTGTTACACAAGAGTAACTCGATGGACCACAGACATGGAACATAGCAGTCCCTCGAAGATGGGGCGGTCGGGTTAAAGCGTCAGCTCGTCACACCGAAGACCCGGGTTCAATTTCCGACAAAGGTACAATGTGTTAAGCCCATTTCTGGTGTCCCCGCCGTGATATTGCTGGAATATTGCTAAAAGCGGCGTAAAACCTCACTCACTCACTCACCCGTGAAGATGACCAGTCAGGAAGGCTCTCTGAGGTGACAATCCAAAACTGTAAATACAACCTAACCATGAACTGGATCTCTCTGCAAGTCAGGTGACATGTCCTTTTCTCTGTAGTCAATACATCTCCTACATATCACCGCTAACACTTTGGATATTTCAAGGTAACTATTTAGAAAGGCCTTAAGTTCTTCCAAATACATGTAGAAATTAAATGTACAAGAACAACTTACCGTGAGAGTGTAGAATTCCCTGTGGCAGGGATGGAGGAGTCTGCTATTCCCCAGGGCAAGCTGGACATGTGATAGCAGCACACAGATCTAATTACACACCACACACACTCGATACCATGTCTGACCTCATCGCACATCTACGCACTTACAACACACTACAACACTTGGCAACTGATACTTCTGTTTGAATGTTTTCACCTTTTCACTCAAAGGACCCAGAATTATCTAAAGGCAAAAACAACAGTGATATAAATGAAATTCAGGACACAGAGATAGACTAAGGTCTGCAGTATAACTGACAGACTCGAAGTGTCTGGCTTCAGTGTAATCTGTTCATAACTGACAGACTCGAAGTGTCTGGCTTCACTGTAATCTGTTCATAACTGACATACTCGAAGTGTCTGGCTTCAATACAATCTGTTCATAACTGACAGACTCAAAGTGTCTGGCTTCACTGTAATCTGTTCATAACTGACAGACTCTAAGTGTCTGGCTTCAATACAATCTGTTCATAACTGACAGACTCGAAGTGTCTGGCTTCACTGTAATCTGTTCATAACTGACAGACTCTAAGTGTCTGGCTTCAATACAATCTGTTCATAACTGACAGGCTCGAAGTGTCTGGCTTCACTGTAATCTGTTCATAACTGACAGACTCGAAGTGTCTGGCTTCACTGTAATCTGTTCATAACTGACAGACTCAAAGTGTCTGGCTTCACTGTAATCTGTTCATAACTGACAGACTCGAAGTGTCTGGCTTCGCTGTAATCTGTTCATAACTGACAGACTCGAAGTGTCTGGCTTCAATACAATCTGTTCATAACTGACAGGCTCGAAGTGTCTGGCTTCACTGTAATCTGTTCATAACTGACAGACTCGAAGTGTCTGGCTTCACTGTAATCTGTTCATAACTGACAGACTCTAAGTGTCTGGCTTCACTGTAATCTGTTCATAACTGACAGACTCAAAGTGTCTGGCTTAACTGTTATCTGTTCATAACTGACAGACTCGAAGTGTCTGGCTTCACTGTAATCTGTTCATAACTGACAGACTCGAAGTGTCCGGCTTAACTGTAATCTGTTCATAACTGACAGACTCGAAGTGTCTGGCTTCACTGCAATCTGTTCATAACTGACAGACTCGAAGTGTCTGGCTTCAGTGTAATCTGTTCATAACTGACAGACTCGAAGTGTCTGGCTTCAATACAATCTGTTCATAACTGACAGACTCGAAGTTTCTGGCTTCACTGTAATCTGTTCATAACTGACAGACTCAAAGTGTCTGGCTTCACTGTAATCTGTTCATAACTGACAGGCTCGAAGTGTCTGGCTTCGCTGCAATCTGTTCATAACTGACAGGCTCGAAGTGTCTGGCTTCACTGTAATCTGTTCATAACTGACAGGCTCGAAGTGTCTGGCTTCACTGTAATCTGTTCATAACTGACAGACTCGAAGTGTCCGGCTTCACTGTAATCTGTTCATAACTGACAGACTCAAAGTGTCCGGCTTCACTGTAATCTGTTCATAACTGACAGACTCGAAGTGTCTGGCTTCACTGCAATCTGTTCATAACTGACAGGCTCGAAGTGTCTGGCTTCACTGTAATCTGTTCATAACTGACAGACTCTAAGTGTCTGGCTTCAATACAATCTGTTCATAACTGACAGACTCAAAGTGTCTGGCTTCACTGTAATCTGTTCATAACTGACAGACTCGAAGTGTCTGGCTTCACTGTAATCTCTTCATAACTGACAGGCTCGAAGTGTCTGGCTTCACTGTAATCTGTTCATAACTGACAGGCTCGAAGTGTCTGGCTTCACTGTAATCTGTTCATAACTGACAGGCTCGAAGTGTCTGGCTTCACTGTTATCTGTTCATAACTGACAGACTCGAAGTGTCCGGCTTCACTGTAATCTGTTCATAACTGACAGACTCAAAGTGTCTGGCTTCACTGTTATCTGTTCATAACTGACAGGATCAATGTGTCTGGCTCGAAGACTTTGAACTGTGACAGTATGGGAGGGGCAGTGTGGGAGGAACAGTGTGGGAGGGGCAGTGTGGGAGGGGCAGTGTGGGAGGGACAGTGTGGGAGGGGCAGTGTGGCAGGGACAGTGTGGGAGGGAGAGAGTGGGAGGGATAGTGTGGGCGGGACAGTGTGGGCGGGAGAGAGTGGGAGGGACAGTGTGGGAGGGACAGTGTGGGAGGGACAGTGTGGGAGGGAGAGTGGGGGAGGGAGAGAGTGGGAGGGACAGTGTGGGAGGGACAGTGTGGGAGGGAGAGAGTGGGAGGGGCAGTGTGGGAAGGACAGTGTGGGAGGGACAGTGTGGGAGGGGCAGTGTGAAAGGGACAGTGTGGGAGGGAGAGTGTGGGAGGGACAGTGTGGGAGGGAGAGTGTGGGAGGGGCATCGTGGCAACAGTGTGGCAACAGTGTGGGAGGGGCAGTGTGGCAACAGTGTGGCAACAGTGTGGCAGGGACAGTGTGGGCGGGACAGTGTGGGAGGGACAGTGTGGGCAGGACAGTGTGGGAGGGACAGTGTGGGAGGGACAGTGTGGCAGGGACAGTGTGGGACGGACAGTGTGGGAGGGAAAGTGTGGGAGGGAGAGAGTGGGAGGGACAGTGTGGGAGGGACAGTGTAGGCGGGACAATGTGGGAGGGACAGTGTGGGAGAGAGAGAGTGGGAGGGACAGTGTTGGTGGGACAGTGTGGGAGGGAGAGAGTGGGAGGGACAGTGTGGGCGGGACAGTGTGGGAGGGAGAGAGTGGGAGGGACAGTGTGGGAGAGAGAGAGTGGGAGTGTCAGTGTGTGCGGGTCAGTGTGGGAGGGGGAGAGTGGGAGGGACAGTGGGAGAGAGACACTTATGTACAACATTTAGCATCCTATGATGATATGATCAATAAATCCCTAATATCTGAGACAGATATTACCAGCAACATCAACCATATTAGCCACAAGTTCATGACATCTGAAACAACATTTAATGTGGACAAATAAATATACCAATAAATCTCCAACAGAACTTGCCACATGTCACTGTTAACTGTTATCAAAGGTACGCCTGCACTTGGAAACTTTATAATGACTCTTATTGAGTACCTAAACCAATTTAATTTCAAAGAATATGTCTCCTGCCATGTGTACTGAGCAGGATTCTCCTGAGATATTGAAACTTGGAGATCAAAGCTGCCTGTGATGGCAGTCTCCTCTCATGTCAAATGTTGCAGCCTTTTTTCCCCAACCCTCTTAATTAGCTTCAAACCCGACACAAACTACACTTCTTTATTTCCAATCAATGCAGTGTTATTTTAGGGGCCGCTGTTGTACTGGTGGTGAGGGATGGCCAGGGAACACAATCACAAAAAACAAAACCTATCGCAAACTCCCCACTTTTTAGCTGTAATTCCATTGTAGTTTTACTCGCGGAAGGTTGTTATCCTGCTGAGGGGCTTAGTTTAAGTTAGCGATTGCCAATTTTCTTGTTTTAGCTTTTGGCAAAAAACAATGGCAGCATCTCACAAACTACGAATCATGGTGTTACTGCAGAAAATCACAACAATCTTCATAGAATCCCCCCCTCAAGGAGCCACTAAACTGCAGCTTTAGGGAAGTACTTACATATATTCCTTTATGTTGCCATGGTTACCGAGAAAAATCTTTGCAAAGTTTTACAGAATAATCCTAGAACAGCCAACATAGTAATTTGTCTATCATCTGCCAACAGATTGAAAATTACATGGTAGCCACAGAAAATAGCATGCTATGTTTTGTTCGGGCAGAATTTAATATTGTTAACTGTATTTGAGGCAATTACATCCTTGTGAGAGATAACAACATATTTTGTGATGAATAAAGTACACGCGAGCGGAAAGTGCATTTATGGTTCTAACGCTTTATATGTCACACAGGCAGATCTGCCATGATAGTGCCGAGACCTACTTCTCAGAAGCACAGACGCTACCACATCAAAGAATGGTGCTGATTACCGTATTCGACGTAATAAGCGCCCCGCTCTAATAAGCGCCCATGGCGATATTGGCTAATATACTGGCTAGTGAACAATCCCGATTAGCACCCCTTCCGATTGATAAATGTACACAAGACTATTTATTTGTGCATAATACGTTTGTTATATGCACCCTTAATTATGGGCAATTAAATTCTGGAAAAATAAATCTGGCGTATATAAACATTTCAGGCTGTCAGCATAAACCACGAAATTTATGATCTTTCAACTCTGTTGTTTTTCACCAAAATAATATTCTAATAAGAGCCCCTATTTCTAATTTTGAGAGTGCCCTGGGTGCTTATTATGTCGAATACGGTAATACTAAAATACAGCTAAGTGGTAATACATGAATATTTAGTTCTCAGTACTGTATACTTAAATAATATCATAATATCTGCAAAAAATTATAAACGCTTTCCTGATGTCATGTTTTTATGCTGATGGGGCTTGGGTATCTGTGTACACAATTAGTGGTGCTCGGAAATGAATGAGGTTGAAAAGCAGGTTTGCATTAAACTAAACAGACTTCATAGTCATAAAAAGAAAATTCTTTCAAAACTAGAAGGTGTAGGTAAAATAGGAAGAATAGAATAAGTTGCACGGAAGCCCAGTGGTACAAGTGTTTGCTTGTATAAGAAACACCAGGGTTCAGTCCCCAAGGAGGTCAAAGTGTGAAGCCCATTCTTGGTGGCTCCCAATGATAACTCTGGATTATTCCAAAGAGCAGCATAAAACCATATTCATTTAATTCCAAAACAGAAAATAATATTGACCATAAAAATATCGTAAACCTTGTATCGCTGCGTCCTCCTTACCTAAAGCACAGCCATTAAAGTATTTTAAACCCGTCAATATTTACGTCTAGGTCAACAGCACGTGCCCTGAATTTTAAAAGAATCAATCAGTGTTGTGCAAGACATGCTATTTTATTAAACAAAATCAATATGAACAGGAAAACAAGAATAAACAGACATCTTACATTACAACATGCCGCAATATCTTAATATCTGCTAAAACCCAAATCCCTTAACATTTCATAGGAATTATTTCTAGTATTATATTATTTGAACGTCACAAACATGTGACATTTGTAATTTCACTTCCATAAGTGAGTAGAAAATAAGGTGTCTCCTGAGGAGCGGTCCTCAACGTGCGTCTGTCATAAACATGAGCGATGTCGAAACCAAAGACTCTCAGCTATGTTTAGATACACCCTCGGCATTTATTCTACGACAGACAATTTAGAACATAATCTGGCAATGTAATTCTGTCTGCTTTTGTTAAATCACCAGGACCAGGCTTATTAAATTGTGAGTATTGTCATGGCATAGCTGTAGAGCCCCATGGGAGATTTGTGGGAATTTCAGCTCTGATCAATCGCAATTATATGTATATGCTGTTATCACGAACATCTCGCTGTTATATTATTGTGTGATAGAGCCAATTACAGCCTCATAATGTGCGGGGGTGACGGGGGGGGGGTGGGGGGGGTGGGGGGGTGGGGGGGTTGTTGCAGGGGGAGGGGGAGCAGTTGGGATAAGACTAACATAGCATTTTATTTTCCAATTTTACAATTAAAGCTGCCCCATAATACATTTATTAATATTAAGGTATAGAATACCCAGAAATTGGCACTAGTCTTGTAGTCCTTGCCAAACCTCCCAATAGTTAAGGTACATGTAGTAGAAATTTGCCAGTTTCTACCACTGAACCCTCTCTATGTTCAACTGAAATGTGCTTTTTTCAACACATCATTTGACTTAAACTGCTGGGCAAAAGACTGTATACACTTTAACATTGGATTTTATAAAACAATAAAAATGTCATCAAAACATTACTAGGCTGGAAACAGTCTCCAAAACACTGCCAACGTAAGTCTCCAAAACACTGCCAACGTAAGTCTCCAAAACACTGCCAATGTAAGATCCCAAACACTGCCAAGGTAAGTCTCCAAAACACTGCCAACGTAAGTCTCCAAAACACTGCCAACATAAGTCTCCAAAACACTGCCAACGTAAGTCTCCAAAACACTGCCAATGTAAGTCTCCAAAACACTGCCAACGTAAGTCTCCAAAACACTGCCAACGTAAGTCTCCAAAACACTGCCAACGTAAGTCTCCAAAACACTACCAATGTAAGTCTCCAAAACACTGCCAATGTAAGTCTCCAAAACACTGCCAATGTAAGATCCACACAACTATGATCCCCGTATCAAATACATCGCTATTTCTATTTCTTGTTTGTTTCATCTTAGCCACCATCAACGTCGGCGTATACATAGATTTGTGGGGTAGATTAGTTTTGTACGAACCTTCGATTCCATGCTGTTGTTTTATGCGAGTATAACCTCATTACCAGGTCTTTTATATCCAATATCCTGAATTCTTGTGTTATTGCTTTCATTAAGAGTTATTATTTTCGGTGTTCTTTGCCCCCTGACCTGGGTAACTCCAATTTGCCTTCTACATCTTTTAATATTGGCAGGGTTTAAAATTGATTTAACCAAAATGGAAATTCCAAGGCCGAACTAATATTACTTTGTAAGGAACAAAAACACGATTGAAGACTGTATCATGTTCTAAACTAAAATGATTGTATACTGCTTACCTAAAAAATATATTTTAATTTGTTGTTGTTGTTGTTGTACAGAAATGTTTAGCAAAAAGATGCAATGATGTTGTCAGGGAAGACACAAGTGAGTATGAGTGAGTATGGTTTAGCACCGCTTTTAGCAATATTCCAGCAATATCACGGCGGGGGACACCAGAAATGGGCTTCACACATTGTACCCATGTCGGGTATCGAACCCGGGTCTTCGGCGTGACGAGCAAACGCTTAAACCACTAGGCTACCCAACCGCCCCTGGGAAGACACAAGGAGTCTGAGTCTGGTTGAGTCATTACCCCGGGTACAGTCGTCGAAACTGTTGCAATTTGCTGTTCAGGGTTGCCTCCCTTTGCCATGAACAAACTTGCTGGCTCATGTGTCAATGCTTGTGTAAACTCATCCCCTTTTGACAAATGTGCAGTCGGGTAGCCTCGTGGTTAAAGCGTTTGCTCGCCGAAGACCCGGGTTCGATTTCCAAAATGGGTGCAATGTGTGAAGCCCATTTCTAGTGTCCCGCGGCATGATATTGCTGGAATATTGCTTAAAGCGGCTTAAAACCTCACTCACTCACTATTAGAGGATAACTGCAACAACTAAGTCAGATTGTGTGTATGACTTGTACGTACTTTGGTTTAGGAATACATCCTAATAATTCTGAATTTCTCAGGTATTTCTGGGGACCTTGTTAACTGCACTTTCAGAGTGAGTGAGTGAGTGAGTGAGTGAGTTGGGTTTAATACTGTCTTGAACAATATTCTAGTTACATCATGGCATGTCAGCTTAATGTGGGATGAAAGCTGAAAGTGTTGCAGGACCTCGGTGAAACCCATGAGCACGGGTATGGTCCTGACAAACCTAGAGACATAATTGTGGTGAACCAGGATTCGAACCCATAATAAAAGGTTTCTTGCATGCCCAAGGGATGCAACTCTGTACTGCGAAATGCGACGAGCCAACCAGTTATATCAACATTTTATTATTATGCCTGTTTGTGCTCAAAGATGGAAGCCTGAGTCAATGAGTCATGAAATGAGCAGACGTCAACATTCTGACTGTTCTGGAATGTCCCACTGGTCACAGAAGCTGCTCACTGTGGATTAAAATACAACATTCATTCTGATTATGATCCTCGGTAAGTCATCCAATGCTCGAGTTTGTTTCTTTGTTGTTTAACACCGCACTCAGCAAAATTCCAGCTATTTGACGGCTTTCTGTAAGTAATCAAGTCTGGACCAGACATCATGAGCATCGATCCATGCAAT